GCTGCAGGTCTCAGCTCCTGCGCCACCTAGAGGCGCTCTGGATCCTAACAGTAACCAAATGTCCTTAATCACAGCACCTACTACTGCGCATGAGTGAAGTGAGTAAGGGCATGTAGCCTGGTATGGTGGTGGTGGTGGTGGTGGAGTCTTGTCCTGCCAGGTTGCTGCCCGGATTAAAAGTTTGGCATGGGATTTTAGGGCTAATCCCATCTTTTTTACTTTTTTGGCCTTGGGGTTTCCACTTAAAATTCCTACAAGACCTACAGGATCTGGTATGAATGGGGGGATGCAGGTTTTTTTTAAAGCATTATAATTATTTCTGTGAACATTTTGTGTGTTCTGTGACAGCTGTCAGATTCTTTACATTCAGGATGAAGTGTACTCAAAGAAACAGAAGCTGTTACAGACTAACACAGAACTCTCAGCTTCTTTTATTATTTACATTGTGTAACCATATTGTGTTACTTTGCTTTCATTTGAGATACAAGTGCAGAGAAGCCAGAGAGCAGTAAATGACACACAGCTCTCCCGCTTGTTGTGTTTTGTTTTCCAAATTAAGTTCAGATGTATCCGAATTTCGTTATCAAACATTGTGATCCACTCAGATTTATTTTTCTCTCATTCGGAAATTTCGATGCATCCGAACGTACAAATTTACAGAAATTCATATGAATTTCAATTCGGAACGAAACGAAACCTGCAGAGAATTTCAAATTAGCTAGTAGTGGGAGTTCTGTTTTTTTGTTGTTTTTACTGCAATCACTTAGCTTTCCTTCTTAACAACTACTCAGTAGAGTTGGGCTCGATGTTTGAGTCGAACATGAGTTCAACTCGGACATCGATAGTTCGTGTGTTCACCGAACACGGGAACTATAAGGGCGTTCGGCGGTCTGTTCCACCGCTGAACGCCCCACAAGGCAATGCACCTTGTGAAGCCCTAACTGGCTAAAGGCGTGCACCTGACCACAGGTCAGGTGCCAGACTTTGCCCAATCAGGGCTCAGTACTCTCATGATGACTTCCCCCAATCATGGCTCACATGTCAGATGACGTGAAACTGTACACAGTTAGGCGGAGCTAGCTAGCTCCGCCCAATTGTTTATGTTTTGCCGGCATCTGTGAAAATGCCATTATGCGGCGGGTGTTCGTCTGTTTACTTTTTATTGTTTTATTTTTTATTTCGTCGAGTCATCGCCGTCGCCGTGATCAACACTGGACGTCGTGATTGACCCTGGATTACGTCGGTGGTTCCATTTTTTTTTTGGGGGGGTTAACGAAAAAGGACTTATCAAAATCCTTTGTCGTGTTTTTTTTTTCAATTAAAGGATTTTTTTCCAAAAGTCTGTTTTTTTATTACAATTTTTAAAAACTCTTTAGTGAATGGGTAGGGGTACTTACTGCGACCCCCCTTACTCATTCACAAGGGGGGGCACATCTGGGTACCCATTTCTTAGAGGGGTACCCTGATGTGAATAACCCCCTTCCCGCACCCCCACAACCAACGCCCCAGGGCTTGTGGGGGAGAGACCCTTGTCCCCATCGGCACAGAACAAAGTGCTTTTCCAGGGACGGCCCTGGAAAAGCACCCTCCCAGTGCCTAGGGTATGTGGCCTGGTATGGCATGCTCACCCCCCCCCCCCTTTCCGGCCCTGCCCGGCCTGTACTCGCATCAAGGGTCTGGTATGGAATTTTTGGGGGGACCCCATGTTCCCCCCCCCATTTTGGGGGTGGGGTTCCTCCATAAAATTGCTACCAGACCTTAAGGACCTGGTATGACTTTACAGGGGAACCCCCACACTTGTATTTTTTTTTACACGGGGTCCCTCCTAAATATACCTACCAGACCTTAAGGGTCTGGTATGAATTTTTGGGGAACCCCACCCTTTTTTAAAAATGGTTTATTGTTTGGGAGGGGGAACTGCATGCTTTAAAAAAAAAAAAGGATTTTTTTTTTTTCAAAATGTCAGTTTTGCTGCAGCAGGTTCTATACATTGTATTTACAGGCAGCTTAAGGGGACCCCCAGGCACGATATTTAAAGGAACTTTTCGTTTTTATTGTTACCCTTTAAGTGATGTTGAAATCACTGCTCCTTTAAAAGCTGTATTTTGTAAAAGTTTTTTTCATTGATTCATATCCCCCAGGGCTGTACCCGAATCCCCATACACTTTTTATGGCCAATAACTTGCATATAAGCCCTCTTGAAGGGGTCAATTGTTTTTGAAAGTTCTAGCCCCATAGACTTGCATCGAGTTAAAATTCAAACTTTTTGGACTTTCTAAAGTTCAAATTCGAACCGAACTCGGACCTGTTTTTCAATAAGTTAGCTGATTCATAGACATTTATTGTGAGGTGGAACAGTAAAGCACAACCAGTGAGTAGCACTACAAAGCAGGAAGTAGAGCCTGCATAAGGAGAAACTATGGCTGCTACTATGTGTATAAATCATTACAATCTTAGAAACACATAACGAAACACGCACTGATGATCATATTGATCAGGGTGATATATTTTACATGTATATCTAAAAAAAAAAAAAATCACAAATAAAATACATTCATTTTTATAATGTTAAATGCACAATCATTATTAGTGTTCCTTTTAAAAATTACTAATTTATATGCTATGCTTTTAAGATTTCAGTTAGGTGTACCTGCCATGCTTGTTGTCTTTAGTTTCCGTGCTTTAATTTTAATGAGTTTTATTACTCACAAGATTTCACATGCACCCCTGTAATAACAGCATTTAGTACATAACACTTATACAGCTCAGACTTCCTGCCATTAGTGTGCCAGACTAGCCCAGCAGCCCCCTCAGCATGTGTTTGTATGCTACAAGTGATTGCTTTGGCATTTTATTAAATCTTATATTCTGACGTATTTGGAACAGGTTGTTCATGTTTCCCTTGGTCATTACAATGAAGATGTATCTGTAGGTGCAGGTTGACTGAAAATTTTGCATAGACACAATATTCCACATGTCTAGAGTTTTCACATGGTACAAAAAGTACATTGAACTCATACCTTTTGGCACAATGAATAATCTAAGAACCTGTACAAGCATAAGTGAGTTAATGGAGAAAAGTGGGGAGAGTAAAGGTGCCCATACACCTACAATTATCTGCAGATTTTCTGTGGTCAGATGGAAAAAGTGGAACAGATTGGCCCAGGTGGAGATTACTCCATCCACACAGTTGAGTGTAGATGGAGGAATCTGTTGCACCTTTTCCATCTGACCACAGAAAATCTGCAGATAATTGTAAGGTTTATGGCCAGCTTAAAACATATTCTCCCCGCTGCTTAGAGTTGGCATGGCACACTGCAGCTGTCCCACGTCAGCTCTATACTGCGAGTTGAGCAATCATGTAATTGTTGACTGTTTAGCTCATCGTCTCTGCTCGCCAGGGGTTCCCTCTTCCCCCCTTTCTTCCTCCATCGCTCACTTCAAAGACTCAAAGGAAAGGTGGCAGGCACATCTGGCTCTAGAGAAGCAGAGCCAGCTGCCACTTAAACAGCCGTGTTGAATCATGGTAATATTGTTGGGATCCTTCCCGGCTGTGGCTAATGCCCACTATCTGCTGACTTTGGGTTACAGGAGTATGTTAGTAAATGTAATCCTGTGACCCAAAAGAGAAGTAAAAACTAAAATTTTGGCTTTACTTCTCTGTTACTCTGTAACTGGTATTTCAGATCTTCCAACTGTTCCATTGTGCGAGGACAGTACCAATTTTTAAATGTTCGCAATGATCCCCAGGGTATGTTTTACATGAGTATTTGCACCCATTTGCTGTGGGGCTCAGCTGTCAAACTGATAAGTTGGCCTACATGAATGAATTTTGAAAAAAAACCCCCCCAATAATTTGGTCTAAAATAAAACTTGTCCCTGTTAAACCAATTCATAACCCTGTTTTTTGCTGATTTTTTTTAACCTATCAAATCCCATTATGCCTGATGATAGGGGGTAGTGGAGTTGTATGCTTGGTAAGGTATATCTTTTTTCTTCCTTGAAATGTGGCAGGGTATAGTATTTCGCTGTCTTACTCTATAACAAGGCTGACGCCCCAGGCCTTTTTAATCAAATATGTCCATCACTGTTCTACATTGTCCTACAGCCCATTCTTAGAGCCAGGGCACTGCTCTCCTAAATGAGCGGTGAATGTTTTTTAGAGTGCATATCTTGTCATTGACTTGTCAATAGTGTTTTCTCCTTCTTGTTTCATTATAACCATGGCAAAGTTCTTTATTTAATAGGGATGGATTCTCTTGGGAGAATTACTATTATTCTACAAACATACAATTGGTCCAGAACTGGAGGTGTGTGTGCAGGGCATAGAGATGTAGATATCCATTGACTAAAACATACATTTGTCTAGATAAAGGAATAAATGTTTGTCTATACCTGTTCGTGAGCTTCAACTTGGCATCACTCTCCCTGTTTGTTTATGTTTTGTTCTTTTTTGACATATGTTGCCATTATTTAAAAAAAAATTAAATGCCCAAAATTCTAATGTTTTTTTTTTTTTTTTTAGACTGGATCACTGAGGTCCTTTGGTTCTGCTGTAGATTTGTGACATTTAAAAATTATAGTCTTAAAAGATGTCTATACCTGTTTGTGAGCTTCAATTTGGGATCACCTTTCCCCTTTGTTTGTTTGTTCCTTTTTGACATATGTTGCCTTTATTTATTTTTTCTTTGATAAATTAAATATTTTTAAAGATTTTTAGACTGATGTACATGTAGCTCTGGCACCAGCTATTTGTCTATTTTGACACTGCTACTCATGTTGCATCTGATTCGACTCTTTTATTGTAACTGTGATATAGGTAACTCTAACATGAACTATTTCATATTGTATTTTTTTTGTTCATTAGCTGTTTATGAAGAATTGGGTATAGAACATGATTACAATGCTCTGTTTCATAACATCTTACACATTCAAGGTCTGATATCTTTCATCACTTAACACTTAACGATACATTTGGTTCTGTTTTTGTTTTTTTTCAGAATGAACCATATGCAACTCTGAAATACCGTGGTGTGCACTTTGGAAAGTACTCAGGAAAACGTACTGAATTTCAGAAGTGTGATGGACCTGGGCCTGGGGAATACGACATAGATCAGTATGTATGACAATATTCCCAGGCTTTTTATTAACTCTTACATGACACTTACTGCTGTGCTTCTCCGATAAGTAATTCAAAGCTGTTTGATTTTCTAAAGAGGTGCTTAGATGGGTATTTATGCTCCAGCTTGTAGCGGTGGCAGATTTTATTGCATTGTGAAATATATGCTAGCATTTAACTGCTAGTGTTGTAATAGGAACTGTCAAAACCAGTTTTCATATAATGCATAATGGATAATATAGCCTTCATAAAAAGAGTATAGTAAAAGACCAGAGCCAGAAACTGAAGCCAAACTATGCCCTGGGATTGTGTCCCCTCACTTGATAGCAGGAAAATCAGATACAATGAAGCTGGTATGAATTTGCAAATAGAGCAATAGTCAAAACCACAATCACTTTTCTCTAAATCCTGAAAGCTCTGGGTTTTATAACCTGCACTGATAAGACCTTATAAACTTTAAACAGTTGTACACATGGCTCATATTTAAAGCGTATCCATAGCCAACACATTTCTTTTTATTTTTGGATAAAGTGGAGAAGTGTTACAACTCCTGTCAGGTTTTTACTGCTATGTATCTGCTGGGGAGATTTACCCTTTCCATTTGTACATGTGACCGAAAATGATGGAAAATCCAAAATGTTACAAATGTCACTGGAACCGATGATACTTTCACTTTGGATGCATTTGTACTCAATTCCTGTTGTCTCTTTGAGACAGAAAGTGAAAGGAAATCTCCCCAGGACACAGACAACCATAGATATTATCTGAATAATTCTTCAAAAATTTGTAAGTGCTAAAACTTTGATTGCCAAAATGGTCAGATATTAGGCCAAAAGAGAAGGGTTTGGGTGGCTGCATGGGTATGGGCAGGTAGCTGTTGGTACTTGCACTTTGTACCTGCAGCAGTTTGCCTCTTCCCCCCTAGTGGCAGAGTCTCTTTAACTGGCTGGAAACAAGATGAGAGCCAGTGAGTTAATAAGCAGTAACGTAAGTGCATGTGCAGCTCAGTGTAGGCCTCAGTTTCTTGGCCTTGGTTCCTTGGTGCCAGAATGAATGAACTCCTGTGTACGTGCATGGGAGTTACGTAATTCCAGCCCAGTCAATCTGAAGACCGTGAACCCATGAAAAGACTGGGTGAAGATGTAGACGCCGATGACAGAGCCGGCCTAGTCAATCTTGGTGGCCGAAGACCCTGAACCCAGGAAAAGACTGGGTGAAGATGTAGACACCGGCAAAATACGCCCCTTTTTAACAAATGAAACCACAAAGCTTCTAATTCACTCCCTTATAATCTCTCGCCTCGACTACTGTAACTCCCTCCCTGTTGGCCTACCACTAAACAGCCTCATCCACCTCACCAACCATTCATTGTCTGCTGCCCCCCTCTGCCAATCCCTCCACTGTTTCCCAATTGCCCAACAAATAAAATTCAAAATACTGACAACTACATACAAAGCCATCTACAACTCCGCCCCAACCTACATCACCAACCTCATCTCAAAATATCACCTAAACTGTCCTCTCTGCTCCTCTCAAGACCTCCTGCTCTCTAGCTCTCTAATTACCTCCTCCCATGCTCACCTCCAGGACTTCTCCGGAGTGTCCCCCATCCTCTGGAACTCCTTACCCTAATCTGTCCGCATATCTCCTATGCCGCCCTCTATTAGGCGATCCTTAAAAACACATCTCTTCTGGGAAGCCTATCTTATCTCACCATAACTGCCCTTTTACTTCTTCCAATAACTCAATCTAAACAATTATTGCCTTTTGTATCACTTGTCCCTCCTACTAGATTGTAAGATATCACGAGCAGGGGCCTCCTAACCCTATTCTACTGAAATTGTATTGTATTGTAAATTGTATTGTAACTGTACTGTCTTCTCCATTTTGTAAAGTGCTGTGCAAATTGTTGGCGCTAAATAAATCCTGTATAATAATAATAATAACAACAGAGCCAGGGAAGTGAGTTTACTTTTGCTTTAATAGAAAGTGAAATAACAATATTGCTTTTTTTACTAGTTAGAAATACAGTATTCAAAATAGTCTATTTTTCGGTTTCTCATTTCACAGTACCAGCTTCTTTCCAAGAGCATTGCTAACACACAGCGCAGCAATATTATAGCTCATTATTGGTTCAATTAAATATTTAATTCTGTTCATTAGAAATGAATTATTCATATATTGTCTTCTTCCCATTTTGGCCATCAATTCAACAAAGGAAACAAAGTATTTTGCCATTGTAAAAGTGGAAATTTCTGTCTAGAAACAGACACTTGATAATACTGAGTATACTGAGACGCCGCAGCTGAAGCGGATCCCGACAATTGTGCCGGGATCCGCCCAGCTGCGTGACTGACAGCTGGCTCTGCCTATATAAAAGGCAGAGCCAGCTGTACCTGCCCCCTACCCCATCCGTTCCGCCAGTCAGCACTGGCGGATGGGAGGGGGGAATGCAGCCCCTTCCCTGTCACGGCAGAGAGCCGTGACAGGATCGAGAGGTGAGCGAACGCCGGTATGTGTTCGCTCCCCTCCCGATCTACTGAGCCGACCTGTGACAGTCTCATTGTCACAGGTCGGCTAGAACTATGAGGTGAGTGAAAATCACTCGCCTCATAGTTCTCCTTTAAGCAAAACTTGTGTTGCCCAGTCGTGCACCAACTGCAAATTCAATAGAAGTACAGACTATACCAGGAATTTATAAAGAGTGTAGATAAAAATGTAATAGATGGTCCCAAAAACAAGTCCTGGCACATGCAGGTCAAGTGAATGTGCACAGATTGTAATGTCTTTTTAAAAGGACCCCAACAACTAAATGCAAGCTAATGATGCCTACATCTGCACATAAATTAAGAGACTTAATAATTATTTGACTTTACAAAATATTAAATGACTGTATAATAAATGCTATTTTTGAGAAAAGTGGTACCAGAATGAAGCGTATCAGGTTTCTTCCACAAATTACTGGAAAAAAGTCAGCTAACCGTGTGTATTGTAATCTTGAAGTCTTTGGAAATGTTTAACATATGCAGAGCTTTAAAGGGTACCTATTCATATTAACCCCTGTCATAATGGATCTTACTTTCCAATCACTCTTTCAGTCATACCAGCACACACATACTTGTTTGGTCAGATACAAAAGAAACCATCCAATATGTTTTTAAAAAATTGGAGGAAGTCTGAGCATCTATGGAAAACTCACACCAATCTGAAATCAGCCGTATATCGGGTGGCTTCGCGTGGCTTCGGGTCGGCCGAACATGCTTCGACTCAGCCCATCCAACATCTGGATCGGCTAAGCCGCACCTCTGGCAGGCTACTCGCTGCTGTTCGGCGTATTCTTATAGATGCCGAACAGCAGTGAGTGAATAGCCGAATGCCGCTGAGCAAAAAAATAGTTGAAAAAGTACAAAAAAATAAATAGAAAATGATTGTGCGGAGCTAGCAGTGACAGCTAGCTCCGCCCAACTGTTTTCTATTGGCCGGGCGGTTCTGCTACCGTAAAAAAAAATTAAGAAATTTCGCCATAGGAATGCATTACTAGATTCCTATTGGCTATTTCAACTAAATAGACAATAGCAAACTAGCTATTGCACCCGCCCTCTGCTGCAGTCAATCACTAGTGGGGACCTGATAGAGAACTGCAGGTCCCCTCTGCTGATTGACAGCAGCAGAGGGCGGTTGCAATAGCTAGTTTGCTATTGCAAATTGAAATAGCCAACAGGAATCTAGCGATGCATTCCTATGGTGAAAATTTACCTTTATTCTGACGACAGCCAACGGCTCCGTGTCAGAATAAAAAAAAGAAAAGCAGTGTTTCTCTCCTGGGACAAGCTACGGCTAAATCCTTCGGCTGCTTTGTGAAAAGACCCCTAAGAGATGTGTTTTTAAAAATTAAAAATGTAATAAAGTGCAAGATCCTATCAAAGTTTAAAACAGCAAGTAAATGGGACCTTCATTGGAATGTAACTAGGCAAAAGTTTTGGATGACATTGCCCCACTTATTAATTTTTTAATTTTCATATAGTATAAAGTGAAACTAAACTCAACAGTTAAAGCTTAAGAATGCATTCATGTACGTTACCGATGAACAAAAATGTATCTTATTTGTACATCACTCATCTGTAGATCCTCAAATCATCTCTGAATTGGTGCTGACACTGTCCTTCCTTCTGGGGGGTGGCTACTGTTGTTCCCCATGGTCCCTGTGTGTATTGTAATGTAACAACCGCTCAAAGCTCACTCCCGTGATGGACTACAATCTCAATACAAGTTATTTAACTAAATGTGAGGTTGTAGTCCATCACGGGAGTGATCTTAGAGCTGTGACTACTTTACAACACACAGACACAATGGGGAACACAAGTAGCCATCCTCCAGAAGGAAGGACAGTGTCAGCATGAATGCAGAGATGCTTTGATGATCTACAGCTGAGTAATACACAATTACGATACATTTTTGTTACTGGGGTACTTAAAAGCATTTTTAAGATTTAACTCTTGAGTTTAGTGTCACTTTAAGCATTGTGTTCCTTTAAATAGCGGTAGAATTACAATTCGCATGTATCAGCAAATTCATTTACAGTAGACCTCAGTGACTGCATCCTTCACTGTAAGTGCGTAAGTCTCCATTAGTGAGTGATCTGGCCCCCATTAGAGCCTGTAAACATAAGGGGGGAAGGCTTTCTGTCTGTACTTGTTTAGATGTCTGTGCAATCTGAACTGCAGACTCATAAATCTTCCTTTGAACTTTCTAAAGGGAAAGTGCACTGCATTATGAGAATGTCAACTCCAAGAAGGAAGACAAGAAAAAATATGAGCCATTCATTCCACGCTATCACGAAGTAATCGTATTACAGGAAGAGAAGAAGGTAAAGTCAATTTGGCTGTTCATAGTACTGAAATACAATCATTAACTGTGAGAGTGGAACTTGTGAATTCCAGGCCCATATGATTAGAAATACACTTAAATAACTGCAACAAGCAATGCACAGCACAAGTTGAAATCTTCTTAAAAAGAAAAAGATCAATCTGTAGTTTACCTGAAATGCATTCTTTCTTAATTATCTCATTGATGTTCATTGATTTTAAGAATATGCATAAAAAGAACACTGAATTTGTGCATATAAACTGAGCTATATAATTCTGCTAGATAAAGTAATACAGTAATATAAACTAGTATTCTACCAAATGCATGCAATTATGGATAAGTCATGTTGTTTTGCAGTATATATTGTAATAAACATGGGAAGGCTTTGGTAAGTGTGGGGTATAGTTAGTGACCCAGAAGAGCCTTATCTATTCCCTGTCTTGTGTAGATTTCTGAATCTAATCTGCACAGATATAAAGGTTCCATGGGGAGACCTTTATATTTGGACAAGCTGGAATATACATTATGCATTATCAGGAATGGGACCCTTTTGCATGCCATTGTCAAAAGCTGCAAAACAGCTGCATGATCTATCATTTTCTGTCAGACTGATATTTCTGCAGTTTAATAAATGATCTTTAGTAGAAAACAGTCAGCTGGGCTGGGCTTTAGACAGTAGATGAGTGACCCATGGCATGAAGCGTCCACTGGTCTGTAAATATAATGGGAACAGCAGCAGGCTGCATGCATACTGCAAACATTGTGGAGCAGAGCAGCCACTGTACAGAAAACATGGCGCTCTGGAAACCCCCTCCCCCTATGTGACTGAAAGAGGTGCCACCTAAGATAAAAGTCTCATGTTGTCCCTTACATGCTGTATGCATGCTGCTTATACAGTATTTCAAAAATATTTTTTTGAACCGCGCTTTGAATATGATAGGCTGCATGCAGATTTACAGTCCACAAATTCACATTTAAGTGTACACTGTATATTTCATATTAAAAAAGGAATGTATTTTTAATTAACTCCATATAAAGTGTTTGGGTGGTCTTGATTGGTTGCATATTAAACATAAGGACAGCAGTCAGCTTTTAATAAAAAAATTTATTTATTGGGGAGAGACCAGTGAGGTGTTAATGAAGAAATTACTGGTAGACTACACTATTTCAGAGAGATTATAGCCACAAATACTCTTGATTGATGGAGCACTGTGATGAGCACTGTGATGAGCCACAAATAGGAGACAAGTAGCATAAGTTAGCTTGCAGAAAATAATAACAATTTTACAAGCTGTGTAAGCATTTGGTTTTATACACTGACATAGTCGAAGCACTGGCATACAGTGCAAACATTGAGGTGCAATGCAGGTTTGGCCCTGCAGGAAAAATTTGGGCTCATTTTTGGATATGTTTTATAACAGAAAGTAAGGTGAACTGTTTTTTTTTTCTTCAACATTTTGATCTTTTTATAGTATACAAAAAACTCAGTGGTTATTCAATATCATCAAATACAAGCTATATCTGTTTGAGAAAGTGATACTGACATATTTGGGTACATTATTGCATTACCGTGTAATTGTCAGTCAAACTATCAAAGAACTCAATCTGAAACATGGCCTGGACAGGAAAGGGGTGGTTGAATACTATGTTTACCTTTCTGACCATGTTTCATGTTATACCCATTTTTGGGGTATAACACAAAACATGTTCAGATTCCTTATATGAAAAAGTGTGTATTTATTATGCAAAAGATGATATTTCACTTTAAAGAAGTAGTGTCTGCACTCTTATTTATAACCTGAGAGGTTGCAAACAGTATTTGTCCTTAGTCAATAAGTAAGTGTAAATGGCAGCAAACCATAGCAACCAATTGGACTTCACTTTTCCCTGATCTGTCTTTATTACACTACAATCTAGCTACTTTCTATGGGTTACTAAACTTGGTATACTAGAATTGCTCTTTGCCTGGCATTATGATGCCAGTTTGTATATATAGGTGAAACTCAAATAATTAGAATATTGTGCAAAAGTAATTGCAGTAAGTGCTGCAAAAGGGGCCCAAACCAAGTACTGAGTACATATGCATGCTTGTACTTTTCAGAGGTCCGATATTGTTCTATGTACAATCCTTGTTTTATTGATTGCATGTAATCATCTACTTTTTTAAGGTTGTGGATTTGGGGTTCTTGGGGTTTTCATGAGCTGTAAGCCATAATCATCACAATTATGACAAATCACGGCTTGAACTATCTTGCTTTGCATGTAATGAGTCTATCTCATATATTAGTTTCACCTTTTAAGTTGCATTAGTGAAATAAATGAACTTTGCACGATATTCTAATTATTCGAGTTTCACCTGTACAAATGTGCAATATCATTTCCAAAATTCATGGCTTTCCAGTGTTTTCTATTTGAAGTATTTCGTTCTGAACTTTCTTATCATACCACTAGGTGGTAGCATATTTCTAGCTTAGTGGTTTTAAAGCAGACTTTTTTCTTTCAGAAGTAGAAAAAGCGGTCATTTTTTCACTGAAAGACTAAAATCTATTTTTAAAGAGAAACTGACAAATACTAATAACGATGTACAAGGCGCTTTCACCAAAAACCTATCATCATAAGATGCTGATAAAGCGTGACACAGTAATGTGCGAAGCAAATAGAGCTGTGCCATTTTAGTTCTGAATAGCAACATGGAACCAGAACCTGTATGTTGTCTACATAGTGCATTATACGCTTGTAAAGACCACTTATGGAATCACTATTTAAATAAAATAAGTTAATAAGTAATACAATATTACATGGGATAATATACTCTTATACTCTTCTACCATTTATAAGGATATCACCTAGGAGCTCCACTGCTGACAGCCAGCCAGCCAGACAAATATACCTAAATCTATGGTAGGACAAAACACCTTCTAAATCACAGACAATATTTGGAGAGATGGTTATCAGTGGAGTTTATAGCACAGCTGAGAGACACTTTAAATATATCTTAACTCAAACTAAAAAAAAAATGCAATTTATTGTAGCTCCCTAGTCCTTAGACATGGTGGCTGCAATAGTTTTCTTCCAGGCTTTTTTTCCTTTATTTGTACCTGGTGATCCTGGCAATTATGATCTTAGGGTGGCACCTCACCATACTGTATCTATGCAGAAGCAGTGTTGTCACCCTATAACATGATTACTATACATGATTACAGAACACCTCCCTATATTCTCTTCTACATAACATAGGAGGTAGGGGTTCTGTAGTGTAGCGAGTGCTGATAAAGGTGCTAACTGATAACAGTCATCAGTGGCAGAATGTATAGGAAGTTTTCGGCTAAGAAGATTTCTTGGAGGATCAACAGATTTTTTCTCCAAAAAAAAAACATACTCTGCCCAATACTTAGAGCCAGCATGGGACACTGCAGCTGTCCCATGCCAGGTCTAACACCGAGAGCTGACTGATCACATGACCACTGATCAGTTGGCTCTGGGTCTCTGTTCCCAGCAAAGAGCAGTGGCTGTCAGTCGGTGCCCCCTCCCCTTGATGTTCTTCCAGCTCTCACTGGAGCTACAGGCCAGTGAAAGGGTAGATAGGGGAGGTGGAGAGGCAGAGCCAGCTGTTAGTGAGACAGCCAGGTCGGATCCGAACAGTATTGTTGGGATCCTTCTCGACTATGGCACTGTCGGCTGACAGCTGCTATACGCTTCCGCTGACTTTGGATCACAGAAGTACCTTATTAAATGTACTTGTGTGACCCAAACAGGAAGCAAAGCCAAAAAAAGGTTTGGCTTAACTTCTTTTTTAGCAGACCAAAAGGGAGGAAAGAAGAGAGCTTTACATGCACTTTAATTAGTCCAAAAGGCCAGATCTGGGTTTTTGCCTTCCTATATCTTGTTCAAATGCATGCAGATTTAGATCTAGGTTTGCATGGACCCATTGCCATTATCTAGCTATGATCTATCAGTACATTTTATTTCGCTTTCATACACACATATTACACAGTAGTACCTGCAAAATATGCTTGTGGATGTTCTTGTAAAAAGGACGGTACAGTGAATTAACTCTGCATTGATTGCTCTGTGTGTGTAAAACAGAACAACAAACTTTAGTCCTACAAATGCTATGGTAAGACACTTTGTTTTATATAATGCTGTTCTATGTAGATTTATTGGTACCATTACAGTACAGTGACTATATTTATGCCTCTCCTAATGGACTGGGAATGTTGAACCCACATATTGCAGATGCACATTGACTGTGACGAGAACCTTCTGCATACATTTCCAATATATATCAAAGGGTCACTTTGAGTGCTGTATATTAAGCTTGCCACATAGAGTGTTGCTTAGAAACTATTGGTCTTGACCCGCAAATTCTCTAGCACACGAGCCAAAAACATTTAAAGCAAGGGCTCAAATGGATTTGAAAATCACAGATGATTTATTTTACTTCCCAAGCTCTGAAATGATTAAGAAACCTCATTTGTAGCTTTAGGCAACATAACGCTTTTCAAGATCAGTTACTTTAAATCTCTATCAGTCTTTTTCATCCAGAAGAAAACCACTGACTTTGCACAGAAGGGAAGCTTATTGCTGAATGATGTATCGCACAGGGTGGTAATGTGAGGTGCTGTGTTGACATTGGTTTGTGGCACTGGAAAGCCTTTCGATAATGGAATCAGTAAAATATGTAGATTACCACAGTCAAGTTAAAATATAAAATAAGATACCAAGATCGGCTTTATAAAACATTGTACCTGTAATATGCTTGCCGTTTGTATTTTAATTTTTCAGTTATATTAAAAGAAATCTAAGAAGAAGAAACTAACTCTTACACTGACTTTATGGGTTAGTAGTAGGCACCATCTTTGGCCTGCAGAGGACAATTTACCTTTCAAAGTGAGCAATTAAGGCATTGGGGTGCAGTGACGGAATGGCATTGTTCCCCCTTCTAAACTTGCATAGCACTACCAGGAGCACTTTGGGTTCATTGGGGGCAGGTTAGAGTTT